CCTGACCACCTGGTTCCGTTAGTAACCTCTTACAACAATCATGGGTTGTAGAAGGCCAATTCCAACCCGGATCTTCACTGGTCTATCGATGTATCGATACATTTTTATATCTAACGTTTATATCTTGTACACATTTCAACTGAGTGAGTGGGTATGGTTAAATTACACTGCTTTTAGCAATATTCCAGGAATATCACGGCGGGGGACACCAGAAATGGGCTCCACACAATATACCCATATTTGGAATCGAACCCAGGTCTTCGGCGTGACGAGCAAACGCTTTAACCACTAGGCTACTAGATCGCCCCACATTTCACCTGAAACCTAGTTCACTTTAAGTGGTTCAACAGTCTAAGCTCCTACATCTTAACCTAGACACCACTGTTTCAGGGCTATGACACAGCGAAACAGCTTCATGTTCTCACCACAGTCCGTTCTCTCTCGAAAAAAGATGACACGAAATAGGCAGACAATAAAACTTTGTCAAGTCAAGGAAACCTTACACCTGCAGACTGCATCAACTTCTCGCCCAGATACAAATGGAAACCTCTTTCACTGCAGTATAAGAAATTAACACTGAGGCTTGTAGCGAGAAACAGGTGCTTGCCCTAAGGAACACGATCGACTGACTTTGTGGAAGTGTTAGAAATTAAACGGAGTCTTTGAGGTGGTCCCTTATCATACATGCATCTAGGGACCCAACACAACATGGAACTATATTTTTTAAGATCTATGCTATGACAATGACCCCATGACTTCCATGCTTAATTTTGAACAGTGTGGGGAATAACAAAATCTAGCTCTCTGAAAATATCACTACACAGGCCAGAAACATAGTGTTAATTTAATGCTGTTGGAATCCTGATTCATCTGAATCCAACATTTACATCAACCCCTAATCAAAACCCTCTTCATCAAAACTGGTGACACTATAGTTCTGAGAAATAGGATTCTCTGTGGGTTTATCCTGTTCTGGTTACATTGGCAGCTAGTTACATTGAATACTTATTGATATATGCTGTATCCTCACACAACAGTCTGTTTCAAAAATAAACTATGAAACATTAGACAGTTCTTTGAACAGAATTCAATGCAATTTCTGCTCTAACTTCCTCCTACACTTCAATACTGACATAAAGGGCGGTTGGGTAGCCTAGAGGTTAAAGCATTCGCTCATCACAGTGAAGACCTGGGTTCGATTCCCGACATGGGTACAATGTGTGAAGCCCATTTCTGGTGTCCCCCGCCGTGATATTGCTGGAATATTGCTAAAAGCGGCGTAAAACCATACTCACTCACTCACTCAATACTGACATATGACCAGAGCCATGTTCCACATAGCCATCTTAGCGCTAAGATGATCATAACTCGCCCCTATTATGTTTCTAGGTTTGTCAGCACCATACCCGTGCTCGTGGGTTTCACCGAAGTGGTAAACGTCTGAGACCTGCATCACTTCGGGCTTTCCTCACACATTAAGGTGACACGCCACGATATAACTGGAATACTGTTAAAAGCGGCGTAAAACCCAACTCACTCACTCACTCCACATAGCTATCTTAGCGCTAAGATGATCATAACTCCCATACTTTAACACAGGCTTATGACAACCGTTGTGTTAAGATTGCTTCATGTAACAGGGCCCACCTCTCCATCCTTGCCGACACACACAGAAGAATGTTAGTACAGCTGTTAGTGTATTTGCCATCATTATCCTAGCTATAGGTAATCCTGGATAACGAAGCTTATCATTAGCGAAGTTGAAATAAAGATCATTAAAGATTTAAATACCAGTCTTGAACATTGCTGAATAAACCCCCAAAAGCTTAATGGTACAACGTCCTGATTATGATTAGCATGCCATCCTGGATTGTAAATTTAAAAGAAATAATAAGAATAGAAGAATAAATACTAAATACAATCCAGTTATATCACGGCGTGTCAGCTTAATGTGGGAGGAAAGCCGGAAGTGATGCAGGTCACAGACGTTTACCACTTCGTTGAAACCCACGAGCACGGGTATGGTGCTGACGAACCTAGAAACATAATTGGAGCGAATCGGGATTCGAACCCAGATAGCTATGTGGAACATGGCTCTGGTCATATGTCAGTATTGAATGAGTGAGTATAGTTTTACGCCGCTTTTAGCAATATTCCAGCAATATCACGGCGGGGAACACCAGAAATGGGCTTCACACATTGAAATCATGTCGGGAATCGAACCCGGGTCATCAGCGTGACGAGCGAACGCTTTAACCACTAGGCTACCCGACCGCCCCAAATACAATCCTCCAGGTGGCCTCAAGTAGTCTCATGGGAGAGCTTCAGGGTAGAGATAAGGGTTGTCATAAGGGTTAAGTTAAAGCCTGCCAACAGTCTAGACACCATGTTTGCAGTGTGTATCAGGTACATAGGAATTACTGGGGATCTATATGAATAAACAATACTTGAACTGTATTAGCTTTCATATTTAAATTAATTCTCAAAATAAATCCATATTTCCTGAAGCACTTGCTTAACATTTAGCATCATCTCTCATAACTCTTTAAAAGAGTGGCTTTGTATCCGTAATTATAGTACAAGTTACCTCTACAAAGACATAACATTAGGTCTTCCGTAAAAGGCAACTTTGCTTGTGGTTAAAGGCGACTAACAGGATCGGGGGTCAGGCTTGCTGTCTTGGTTGATGCATGTCATTTGTATCCCAATTGCATGGATCGATACGCGTGATGTTAATCACTGGATTGTCTGGTCCATGTTAAATTATTCACTCACTGCTGGAATATTGATGAGTGCGGTATTAAAAAACAAACAAACAACATAACATCACTATAACTGTAACAGCAATATTTGGAAAATGTTTAACTCCAATTTGGAATTTTTGCTGCAGACTTGAGGCCCAATATTGGCCCTCGGAGCAAGTCTAAACAAATCCCTTCATAATCCAGAACAAAATGTCAAATTCCCATTTCATGTCAAGTATTTTGTGTATCAAGTGTGTTTTTATCTCCATTGAGCAATATTTACACACAAAACAACATTCTTTGCATAGATATGTTGATAATGTTAATGAGAAAGCTAAAGAACCATGAACCATAAACGCTGACTGAAAGGTGATTATCACTGATCATTTTCTAGTAACCCAATGGGGAAGGGCTTCCTTCATTATCTGTTTGAAGACTAACTAGAAGTGTTGTAATTAAAAGTGATATTTTACATTTCAAACAGGGAAACAAGTGTGGATTGCAGAAATTGAATAAGTTCTTATCCACAGATTTGATAAAAAATGTTTCCACAATATGAAGATGATGAAAGTTCAAAATCATCACAGCACAGTTCTTAAATACATAAACATGGAGGTGGGGGGCACAGGTGGCCCAGTCATTCGCTGTGCAGAGTTGCGTCCCTTGGGCTAACCAGAACCCCCATGATCGTGGGTTCGAATCCTAGTTTGCCCCGATTATATTTCTAAGTTTGTCAGCACCATACCCGTGCTCGTCGGTTTCACAAATGTGGTAAACGTCTGAGACCTGCATCACTTCCGGCTTTCCTCCTACATTAAGCTGACACGCCGTGATATAACTGGAATACTATTAAAAGCGGCGTTCAACCCCTCACTCACTCAACGCTGCTGTTACTCACATAAACATGGAAAGCTTTCTGACTATGTGGTGTGACATTGAAAAAAAGAAAAGTTTGCCGCCCAAATATCAAGCAGAATTACTACGAGTCGAATTTTACTACCCAGGTACACCCTAGGTCTCAGGAGTTGGATACAACACTTCCAAATGGGGACTGTTTTACCGGAGCACTCTCAATACATATTTAGATGTACATATAAAACAATTTAAAAATTCATTTAAAACTCATTTTAAAAAAATGCAGCATATTGTGACAAATAATTCAATATGTAAATTAACTGCAGGCCATAATTTAAAACAAGGATCTAATGTGACAAAACGTCTGACCTAAATTTTACCATCCTACTTAAACTTTTCACAGACCAAACCACCCTTCGAAGCCAAAGGGTTGTTTGATATATGAATATGCATGAATTTCACTAAAAAAGTCCTGTGCTTTAATGTACAATAACGTGCAAGATAATGCATTGTTCCCTCTATTTTAACAAAACATATGTAAAGTACTGACATAAACTCAATAATAAGTATTATCAACATCATGTCTGTAGACCCCATGTACCTCAAAAATAAAGACACAGAATAGGAATACGACATTGTTGAGGATATTGTAAAAGGTCTTGTTTTCGTAGATCAGAGTATAATTAATATAATTCAATGAGTCATAATGATATACATTTCATTCAAACTATTCAGGCCAACACATAAAAAACAGGCCATCTTCAACAACCAACCGCAATGACCAACAGGTTCATTCATAACTATTAGTACAAGTATCACCTATTCATGTATTGAAATGTCTGAATAATTTCCTCAGAGGGAAACATTATTTTAAAAGTGTTCTGACCTTTACTTTGGTCACACGTTTGTTTTCAATCCATCGGAAAATTTAAACCATGACCTAAATCCGTACCCATGCATACCAGATGATGTACCCTGGACCAATGACTCATAGGGTTCTATTTTCAAACTGGAATACACGGTGTTTACACACAACTGGACACTGCCAATGTGTTGAAAAGAATGAAATTATTAAATAAATATCACGACATCATCAGAACATTTAAATTTTAAGGCCAGAATCAGTGACAAGTCATTTTTTTCAAATACAAACCTATTTTAATCATTCCTATTGATTCTTTATTCAAAGCATTTATAACATTCACAAATCTGCTATTGTATCGGTATAAAAAAGCAGTTGGTTTGTTGATTAACGATTACAAAGAGAAAAAGAAAATGACAACTGGCTTCAAGCACCGCCTGTGTAAGCATCAAGGAGACAAAATGCCGGCTTCACTTTATGGTGGCTTATCGTCTCGCCGACAAGACCGGGTCATTATGATATACTTAATTCATTCTTACCTAACAAAAGAAGTTTAACTTCTCTCGCTGCCTTTTCGCCATCAGCTCTGAGAGTTTTGTCGATCATTTTCGATCTCTCAATCGCGGCTTTGTCTTCTTGACTGGTAACACACCCCATGTTTTCTGTTTGGTGGTCCTTACAATCGGCCGATATATTCCAAAATAACACACAAATTATAATCCAAAAGAATCAGAATGAAGTCCTGAAATTACTGAGTGGATACATTAATCCCACAGAGACTCACACCCCTCTAAATCACTAAAATCACTGACGAATCCACATCCGAAGACGCTGTGTATTGAGTCCCTATTTACGAGCCGAGCGACTGATTCCGATTTGAACGAGTGACCCGGATGAACGGGCACCTGCTATCGCAGCTAACTTTGACGGGAAATCAACTGCGGAAACGGAATACCGTACTGGATGTAAAAGGCGGGTGGTATGTAGGGCTGTTCTTTTCATGGTTACGCTAGGCACATTCCTATAATTTAATAGATAATCTTATCTTATATTGGTATTTTAACTTTGCTATTTCATTTATGATTATGCAACATTTTAATTCGGCAAATAATTCACACAAAAATACCATTTCAAATTATTACAATACCTCTGATCAAATGTAAAATATAAATAAAATGCAGCATTGTTTAATTACAACGCAGTTATTTTCAAATGGGAAAAATACAATGATAAATTATTAATCCTTCACTGTCGAACATGGATGATAATAATAAATACAGTAATAATCCATAGCGTAAGATATTTTACAACATTTACATTTTAGATGTTATTACGAAAGCTTAATGGGTTTTCTTGCATGGCAAAATATTATTTTCTCATTCGTTATTACAGTCGCCCTCATAGTTCGCAATTAATGTGATTGACTAAGAGCACGTTTTGACAGGCAAATAACAAATTAGTCACAAGAATTCGGACCCAATACACACGTGGAATCTAATTATCCATAAATATCGCACACGCCAGTTTATGTCATTCAGGATGCCTTTGCCGTGGAGATTGCTCATCGTCACGAGATGCGATGACTGGCCTACATTATGAATGATTGTGTTTTATACTGGCGTCAATTTTTTTTTTTTTTACGTATTGAACATGAAACTGATGACAAGTGCTTCCGTGATGTAAAAAATAAGATTTCAAAACAGGAAGTTTGTTTGAAACGATTTATAGCGGAAATATTTGTTTAAACGACACTTAAAAAAATGCTTATTTACTTTAAAAAGTATTTCCAAAAAATCCATCCAACAGTTTTATAGAGTATTCACATACCACCACCAAACAGCCCTCGAAGAGTAGCCTCCCATGTCTTGGCCGCATCACAGTGAAACTTAAATAATTGTGATGTTGCATAGGGCTAGACTTGTCTAACATACAGCCCCCTAAATACAGTTATGAAAGGGGTTAATTAAAAATATTTCCCTAAAGGACTCCTCGGGTACTTATGAACCCCCATGTCTTATCTAGAGCTGAAGAGGGGATGCGTATAGGCTGCTGGAGATGAGAATGGGATAAGAGTAGAATGGGGGCGAATGTTTTATTACATATATAAATACTCTGGTCCGCGTGTCCATGTGCTGGAATTAAAAACATTTAGTCGGTGTGCATTTTGTATCAGTTCTATTCAGAAATGGATAACCACTATTAATCATCCCCAAGAGGTACACTACATCACAAGGGAACGCATTCGAAAAACCGTGTTTCAGCTGTTAAATAATCTCAAAATGGTGAAACCAAAATAAAGCAAGCGAAGACCTTTTGCTAGAGCGTGTCAAATGATAAAAGAGTTAGAAAAGTTGTTTTAGCTTTCTTTTGCAAATGTTAGACAAAATTCATGCTTTAATTTATTTTAGGTATTCGTTGCCGGATGCATTTTACTGGTGCTTCAAATACACACACATAAAACTCGCTGTGTCTGTTTGATAGACTACGTGCACATTTTTAAAATCCGCAATGTAGATAACTTACGATTTTTTAGTATTGTTTTTTAATATGAAATAGGAAGTAGTTCCGAGAATCTCTGCATACCAGAAAATAAAGAAATCTGGACTTGCAAACTATAATAAACTGTTATGATATTTAGGATCTGTATGAACATAAATGACTGGTATTTAGAGGGAAAATATATTGGTGTTAATTTGTTGTCGGATTTCATCAACGTCGTCTATTTTTTATCCATATACACCCTAATTAGACAACATTCTAAAAGCCAAAACAGTCTGTAAAATAAAGCAATTGTTCAGTGAAAGTTCAATTTCGAATTATATGAAACACTTTATTGAAAGGTTTGTCCCTTCAACTGTTATGTCTGACGCAAGAAATGAGTGGTGTGTTCTTTCTTTTTCCAATTATAAGAGACCGCCTCCGTGGTCTAGTGGTAGAGCGTCCGCCCAGAGAGCGGAAGATCCGGGGTTCGATCCCCGGCCGCGTCATACCAAAAAACGTTAAAAGATGGTACTTGTTGTTACCCTGCCTGGCGCTCGTCATTAAGGGGCTCAAACAAGGACTGGTCGGCTCGGAGTCAGTATACTGTGTCTGAGTGGGGTATTCATGTTAAACTGCGTCATGGTATCTCAGTGAGCTAGCACTATAAATCGGCATCAGTCCGGACTAGTACAAGCAGCCACACAAACACACACACGTACATGCACGTCGCTATATAAGTGCAATAATCCTGGACGCGACGTTAAACCCAATTTCAGCTCAGCTCCAGTTATAAGAAGCAATAAGGACGCACCGTTCATTTATCGTATATAATGTGAGTTCTTTTGAATAGCTTTATTTTATTAGTTTATTATCTATCGGTTGTTGTTTGTTAATGCGTGATGCTTTATTCTATTTTCTGTATTTTTAATAATCAGATCTTCCGAAATAAGATAAACGTTTTATTTGCTATAACAAATACTCAGTGTATGAATTTAAAGATCAGATATCGGATTATATTGGTGGTGACATCACAGTGGACATTGATTTCAACTAATTTAACGTTTCTGTACTGGCGCTAGTAGCTTTAGCAAGCAAGTGAAGATCATTTGGGTAGGACACACTTATAAAGCTTACAAAAAAACGTAAATAAAGTCTTTTATGACACAACAGCTTCCTAACGACCGGTTAAAGATACAGACAGCATCCTTGGTGTATAGAGGACAGACCGTTTGCCAGGAGAGCGGAAGTTGTTGTTGCCCTGCCTGGCGTTCGTCATTAGAGGGATAAAATGAGGACTGGTCGGCTTGGAGTTATAGTTTGTTATGTTGAACAGTTACATTAATATCAATACCAGATTGTAATATAATTTCTTCCCGGCTGTATTTAAAATAACCCTCATCTGACTTATAGTTTAAAAATATAACACTCATGGCATTATTCAAATAAACATTTAAGTTCGCATAGTTTTATTGCAGTTGACTAGTGATCATTCTAGCAATTCTCAAGTTTTCTATCTCAACAGTAATGGTTTGGGTAATGCTTTCCTCTGATCTCCCCGTCACGATAGGTGTTTCCGCCCCTTCAGCATCAACCAAAGATGTAGATATACGTCTTTGCATCAACCAAGCTGTAGTAAACGATAGTAAACACGGGGAATTGGCGTAATACGCTGAAGCCATGTCGACAAATAAACAGTCCCAATAATTGACAGGCGAGAGTAATTATGATTAGGACCGTCAGTTATATGATATTACGAAATGTATTTCTAATACTTTCTTCAAATAATAAACGCAGATTGTCTATAGCGTCTGTTCAGATGAAACAAGTGCACATAATTGAAGATGAATTTTGTTTAACAGATACAAAAACAAAAAGCTATTGATAGGTAGCATGTGTGTCTTCCAACTATAGGGAGCCGCGAAAGAATATCTTTCCGTTTTTTCTTTTCATCGAAAGTTTGACCATTTAACCGGTGTAAGTTAGCGCATGCGCATTGGCTTTCAGCCATGTTGACAACAAATGTGTAAAAATTTCGTGTATGTTGGATTGTAGTGTCAAGATGCACGCTAGATCGACGTCTATAAAGGTCTAGCACGGGCAGAAAGACCACAATGTCAACATATGGCCCTAATTCGTCATCTAGGGAAGCAAAACCTGGGTTTTGGAAAACGGGTGCCAGTGTCCCCGGCAGGTAGGTGTGCCCCTTCTGCTGTCACACTCGCAGACGGAAGTGCCACACATTTCCCGTGAAAGTTACAAATCGTAAATAAATTTTATCGTCAGTTTGATACAGTGGATAATTCACGATAAGTAGTTGAAAACGTCGCAGATCGTTGTTTAGAATACACACGTGAAAGGATATTTTGTATCATGATATCAGCTGCAAACCATGTTTTTTGCAATTTCTGAACGTTTTTTAAAAAAACAAAAAACATTTCCTTCGATAATAAAATTTATACATCACGATTGACATGGGAATAATCAGTAAACAAGGTAAACTGTCCAAAATCACTGGTCATCCTGACACTTTGCCCTACATTTCTTAGGGTGTTAATGTTTTATATGCCAATATTCTTGAGCTTTTCTGGATATAGATGTTGTCATTAAGATTTCATTTCAATGTCTCATCAACTGCATACGGATCCAGATAACATGGTGTTCTTTCAATCGCATTTGGTGACACCAATGTCCATGCTAAAAACTGATGGGTTAAGTACATACAATGTGAGAACTCCTATTGTAGCAATTTGGGGGTTGAGAATAGGAAGTTATACTCTTGGGATAAACTCTTGAACGGTGGAGGAGTTGCACAGTACGTGTGAAGCACTGCCATACAATCGCAACTATATATTAGACATTCCAGAATGTCCGTTTGTTCAGTTTTCAAAATTTAATCGAGAACTGTTCAACATATTTTTCAAGCGTAGTCTGAAATTGAAGTCGCCAGGTTGAAACGAGTGCCGTATAGCTCGAGAAAGCTGCTTTCTATTTGGCTGATGTCTACTTCTTGTTAGTCATTTCAGTGGTCGGTCAAAGTTCGCGAAAGATCGTTCTGACGTGACCCGTAATGGGATGTCCTCAGATCTTTGTTTAGCGGCAGCGAAAACTTAGATCTGATTTTAATGAGATTGGTGTTTATCAAAGCCTAGATTACAGTATAAATATGCCTCGGTCGTATCAAGCCTATCTCTGTTCTACCCAGAGTCCCTTTAAAGCTTGCACCCAGCCGAGTTCCTCTGTCACATCGTCAAATCTTACACAGTTCATTCATGTGTTTTTCATCTGTTTCATTTTCGACAAGTCTACACATTTAGATAAATGAGAAAATATCCTGAAACATAAAAATTATTTTCATGATGTATTTACCCTTCACATGCTGTCATCAAAGCCCTACAGAGAGCTAGTGATACGGTCACTTTGATGTGTGTCAAGCTATATTGCCATGCACATCACTGTCGCAGTTGTAGTAGTATATCTATGATAGGATTATGCAAAACAAGATATGTAAAGGCTTGCATTAGGCTTGTCTGTTCTTTTTTCAGGATAAGTGAGTTTGTTGATCAAAAAGAGAAACATCCCGTGATAAGCCAACATCCGCAGTGTGGTCACTGAAGCCTAAAACGTCTCTCTCGTAATAAAGCGAGCAGAGTCGAATATGCTCAGGGGTTATTGGCTATTGTTTAAAAACAAAGCTTCAGAACGGTTGACGTCCTGTCCCTTTAGCCTCTTTGGTCATGTTGATAAGGCGTCTGACATCGCTTCAAAGTTTTGTGGTTCAAATCCCATTACGGGACTTGGAAAATTTTATTGATGCTACAAGACTCATATGTGTGTTAGTGTATGTAAATAGGAACAATTGGTGTGAAATTTCACATTTGGTTGAATTGTTTATGCTGCAAAGAACACTTTACAATAGTTACAGGTCACTCAAACTGTCTGAATTTTAGATAGCATCAAGTAGATATATTTTAACAAGCTTGGAATTTATTTAAAGAATTGGAAAAGTCAATATCAGGAGATGTAGATGATTATTCTGCAAAACAAATACATTTGGTGTCCGGGGGGCACGGGTGGCCCAGTCGTCTAAGGCGCCGCGATTCGCTGTGTAGAGTTGCGTCCCTTGGGCACGCCAGAAACCTATGGTCGTGGGTTCGAATCCCGGTTCACCTTGATTATGTTTCTAGGTTTGTCAGCACCATACTCGTGCTGGTTGGTTTCACCGAAGTGGTAAACGTCTGAGACCTACATCACTTCGGGCTTTTCTCCCACATTAAGCTGACATGCCGTGATATAACTGGAATACTGTTAAAAGCGGCGTTAAACCCAACTCACTCACTCACATTTGGTGACCACTGCAGCTGCAGTTCATAGGTTTATGAGCACCATACTTGTGGGTGTCACCAATGGGGAAAACAACTAGGACTTGCATCACTTCGGGCTTTCCTCCCACATCAATCTGACACTTAATTATCAAAGCAGCATGAAGCCAAACTCTGTTGCTCACAGAAATCTATTAGAAATTATGTTGTTTGCCTGGGAACTTATATGTTATGATGTGATCAGTCAAGCTGTATATTATTATAATTCTACCATGAATTTGGAATTTACTCGTTTCTGATTGGTCGATCAGAGGCTATTAAATCACAATAAACGCCCTCTGATTGAAACAGCTGGTTTGACAGCCGCATTACCGTGGAAGCTAATATTCATAGAATAGTACTTTTTTCAGTCATTGTCGATAGGCATATTTAAATAATTATACAGTGTATCTACAATTACAGGTTACAGAATGCACAGATGCAGTTACTACAATATTCGTGCAGAAAACACAATACAAATCTACCAAGGGAATCTATTTACGTTTTGGGGACAACAGAAAGCTTGGAATTTTGCCGCTCTTCTATATACGTCTGTGACGTCATATCTTTTGCGTCACAATGAGCGATATGAGGTCATCATGGTGACGTGCGATGTAGAGCGAAAACTTTGCAAAGCTTGCTTTGTTTTCTTTAGGGATACCCACCTCATGTTAGCTTACCAAGTTGCCGTGCTTATATGCTTAAAATGCCTGTCATATGTTCGAGTGAAGTATTACGGTGTAAACAATATGCTTGAGTATATACAGCGCCATATTTTGTTCAGTGATTCCGTAATTTAGATAGATAACCCCCTCAAAACACTGGACTCAACCCATGCCGCTTCACTCAGTATATTTGCTAACACCAAAGAGTTCACGTTTTATTTAGTCATGGTAGAATGGAGATAAACATACTGTACTGCACGTTCGGTTCCAAATTCAATTTTGCCCGGTTAAATGTACAGGTAACCTAGCTCTACATTGAAAACACAGTATGTTTATCTCCTAATTATTAGACCATAAACTGGAAATGGGCACCGTAAACTCCCTTTAAAGATAGAGGTGAGGTGAGGTGAGGTGAAATTGGGTTTAACGTTGCGTCCAAGATTATTGCACTTATATAGCGACTTGCATGTACGTGTGTGTGTTTGTTTGTGTGGCTGCTTGTACTAGTCCGGACTGATGCCGATTTATATTGCTAGCTCACTGAGATACCATGCCACAGTTTAACATGAATACCCCACTCAGACACAGTATACCGACTCCAGTCCTTGTTTTAGCCCCTTAATGCCAAGCGCCAGACAGGGTAACAAGAAGTACCATCTTTAAACATCTTTTGGTATGACGCGGTCGGTGATTGAACCCTGGACCTTCCGCTCTCCGGGCGGACGCTCTACCACTAGGCCACGGAGGCAGTCTTTAAAGATAGAGGCCTGGTGATCAGTTAATACTAACACATTAGTTAACTGCTGTTCATGATAAGGCCTTATATATCTTAGTTAGTTGGTTTACCAAATTTCAACTTCCATATAAGTGACGCTTTTAATGAATGAAAAACAAACTTGTAGGTCACACCATCACAGATATATGGACACGTGAAGATCGGGGGTAGAATAGGTCTTCAGCAACCCATGCTTGTTTCCCCGTGAAGATCCGGGGTAGAATAGGTCTTCAGCAACCCATGCTTGCCATAATAGGCAACTATGCTTGTCGTAAGAGGCGACAAATGGGATCGGGTGGTCAGGATCTGACTTGATTGATGCAGGTCATCGTATACCAATTGTGTGGATCAATGCTCATGATGTCAGTCACTGGATTGTCTGATCCAGACTTGATTATTTACCGATCGCTGTTATATAGCTGGAATGTCGCTGAGTGCGACATTAAACAACAAACAAACAAACAAAACACAGATGTATGCTTGTGAAAAGATACTGAAAAGTAATTGAATTTCTTTTTTTGGTAAGAAATTATGTTTATAGTATTATTCACCATTTCTTACAAGCACCAGTCATAAGATCTCATGGTATTTTCATTTTACCTAATTGAGTCAGCCCAAAAGTAATTTTATTTTGATTCTAATCTCAGGGTCTTGTCACATGACATATGTATTATCTCATTAAGTGACCTGATCATGTTTGCAATGATGATAATTTTATGAGTGCAGCCTCAAGTGAAAATGTCAATATTATCAGGTCACGAGTTGAGAGAATCATGAGCGAATTTAACAAGAAAAGACAAACTTCCTTTTTAAAAGTATTTTTTTACTTGTCACAGTATTAAAGCCATAATGTCACAGACATGGCTGAGGCAGACTGAAAATAGCTCAATACTATTATTTCATGGTAAACATGGTAAAGAAATGCAGTGATCAAGGAGACTTGGATCACTTTGACAGTTAGCAGTAAAAACATGTTTGTATGATTTGTGAGACTTTAGGTCTATTGAATACAGAGCTCCAGATAACTTTTTGAGCAATTGAGTTTTGAGTTTTTACTCCAGGATTTCTATTTTCATTGGGTAACCAATATTTCTTCACTTTTCCCCAAATAAGAAAACATTTTGAGATTTAAAAATAAATAAATAGTGTTTTAGATGTATATAACGGTTCTAACTATAGGCTTGACTCAGAAAGTAAATTAGCTCATTGTGTTTCAGAAATTAGCTCCGTTGTACGCATACTGAAAAAGCTTCATTGGGTATTTACGCGTTGTGTTTTTATACATTGAGTTTTTCATTTGATGTATGCGTTTCTGTAAGCAAGTTATTGAAAGTATTTGGGTTTTGAACATTTTTTAGGGGTATTTTACGCAAATATGCAGCTTATCTGTAGC